GTAAAGGCACAATATTCCAATGATGTATGTAACTGTACTGTATACCTAAAATGTATCAATAAAGTTAATGGGGAAAAAAAAATTAAAAAAAAAAAAAAGAATAAAGATGTGGGGCTGGGGATTTAGCTCAGTGGTTCTGATGCCTGCCTCACAAGCGCAAGGTCCCAAGTTCGATCCCCAGTGCCAAAAAAAAAAAAGAATTAAGATGCGTTATATACATGTACCAACTTGCCATGATGAAAGAAATCATTATGTACTGCAAATATCAACTAAAAAAAACCTAGGTGACCCAAACCTTTAACCCCAGCACTCAGGAGGTTGAGGTAGGATGACTGCTCAGAGTTCAAGGCCAGCCTGAGCCACACAGCAAGACCCTGTCTCAATAAAGAAAAAATAAATAATAAAAAATAAAACCAATTTTAAAATAAAAATACATGTACTTTCTGGAAGGCAACTTGGCAAAATATGAAAGATGTTTGGTTTTTGTTTTTTGCACAAACTACCGATTGAACACAGCCTTCACACAGAGCTACATTTCCAGGTGCACGCCCCCCCCCCCCATTTCTTACTTTGAGACAGAGTCTTGCTAAGTCACCCAGGCTGGGCTGGAACCTGTGATCCCCCAGTCTCACTCTCCCAGAGTGCTGGGATTACAAGCATACACCCCCAAAGCCAGTTTATAGCTACCTTTTGGACTAAGCAATTCCACCTATAGGAATTTACACCAAAGCAATAATCAAAAAAGTATATACTAATGGGAAACTACTTTAAAATAAAGAAAAGAAAAGCAACTACTCACTTAACAATATTCATGGCTATACAGAACTCCTCTGAATTACTGCAACATAGTTCTATAACCACACTCATAACTCAAGATGAACAGACTTATTAAAATTCAGGTCAGGTGTGGTGACACACACTGGTAATCCCAGCACTCTGGAGGCTGGGATGCTACAAGTTCAAGGCCAGCCTGAACTATAGAGTAAGTTCAAGGCCAGCCTGAACTACATAGGGAAACCCTGTCTCAAAAAAACATTAAAAAAGTGGGGTGGAGATTTAGCTCAGCAGCACAGTGCCTGACTGGCAAGTGCAAAGTTGTGAGTTCTCTCCCTGGCACCAAAACCAAAAACAAAAACACTTTTAAAAATTAAATTAAAAATAAATAAATCAGGGCCGAGGATTTAGCTCAGTGGTGCTGCCACCTGCCTCGCAAGCACAAGAACCCAACTTCAATCCCTGGTACCAAAAAAAAAAAAATTAAAAATAAATAAATGATACTGAAAGCTAATGATAGCACAGTACCAGGTGGAAAGCAGGTAAGAACACTTTATCTCCCTAAGAGTGTGTGTGCATTGATATCCAAAAAGATGTACCCCAAAGTGGTACTTTCTAAGTGATCTTTATTTTCCTCATCTTCTACATATTTTCTACCGTGACATTTTTCACAAACAAATATCACCTTTAAAATTAAAATTGGTGGGCCGGGGATTTAGCCCAGTGGTTCCGTCGCCTGCCTTGCAAGCGCAAGGACCCGAGTTCATTCCCCGGTACCAAAAAAAAAAAAAAAAAAGATGAATGAGAAAATAAGATTGTGTAACAGCATAAATATTTC